ATACGTGCGTGGGTGCAACAATAGTATTGCAGCAGCAAGTAGCGGTGCAGAAGCAGCAGATTTGCAGCATATAATGGCGAATTGAGGCAGTGCAGCTGATTAATCGAGGTGCAGCGGCAGTTGATAATTTTGCAACAACAAATACGGCTGATCATCGTAATTGCACCGCATGGTAGGTGCACCTTCCGTCATATTAAGCGAAACAAAATACATTCGGTATTTTGTCTATTCGTGATAGCATTATTTTTTTTGTATTCGCGTCGTGCGTTAGTTCGCGGTAGAATTCAAATCTACTCTCTCTCTCTCTTTCTCACCGAACATAATTAAATTGTAAAATCCTATTCGCGTGCGTCAGTCTTTCGGCCCAACAAAGACTGTAGTGATTTTTTTATTAATTAAAGTCTGTTAAATTAATTCGCCGTTTTCGTCATTTGATTTTTCTGGTAGCTTAAGTATTTGAAACAGGCTTAGGTTTTAATCCAATTACATCTAGGGGATTAAGAAGATTAGGAGTAAAGTCGCTCACACTTAAAACTCATCAAGTAAGGTGAGTTGAACTCCGATCGATAGAAGACAACTAGGATAAATCATCTGACGTTAAGGCGAATACACGTATTATCATACGTGTTTAACGGAGCGGCGGTTTGCTCTGCATCGTAGGAGTTTGTTCTTAAATAAATTCCCGATTTTCAGATTTATCTCTCCCGTTACAAGATCTATAAATGATAATTAGACCTCGTGTTATTCTTGTGTTTATTTTTAAGAGATATTTCTCGCCATTTTAGTACTATTAAAATAAAATGTATTAAACATATTTTTATTTGTCATAAATTATGTTTGAGCTACAGATATATTTTACAAAAAAAAAATAGGATACCCCACGTACGGTGTAGAAATCAATTATTTTAAGAAAAAGCAACTGATAAACTCAATTCTTCCAAAGTTATGTCTATTATCCTACATTTTGTTGGGTAAGGGTGGTTTATGGGGGTTTGGTGGGCTAGAGGCAGGTTGGTTAGTTGAGGTAGCTCGCTCAGGCGTAGGATTAAATTATTTCAGGAAATAACAAACGACTTAACTCATGTTTCCCAGGATTAGGTGGGTTAGACTGCAGTTTTATGGTCCTCTTCTCTCATCGGCATCTCAGCGCTCACGTGTTCGGAGGCTGCATGCACTTCATATGTAAGTGTGAAGGTACGAAGAGCAGAATAGCGTATTGAAAAAAATGAATGAACGCTTGTATAAATTTAGACTATAGATTCTATTGCTTGGAGACTATCAAGAAGAATTTCCCTGCGACACTCGGCTCGGTTCCCACAGCTCTTGGGAAGCGGTTTCAACTCTGTCGTTGGTCTTAGAAAAATTATTCTTGTGAAATTTAAAAATTTTAATCATATATGGCCCGCCGTCACATCTTTAAGTCAATTTTTTACATCATAAACTTTTCACTTTACGTACATAATTCCGCGTTAAAGCTTGTTCAAAATTTGTGAAAATTTACGAAAACAGCGTTGTAAGGGCAACTCAGCGTAAAAAGGGTCTGCTTCTATGAGTATAAATTCGCTTGTCGCTGCGATAAAAGGACTGATTCTGATCCAATCTCATCTAACAACATGAGCACTGTTATCAGTGAAATAAAATCTGAGCCATTTTCTGAGCCACATTTCATTATTCAGTGATTAGCCTTGCTATTTTTCTTTTTTACATGATTGTCTAAGAGATAAATTTAGAAGACCCTCTATTTTATGAGAAAAGAACAGCATTAGACAATCGTCTCTTCCAATTATATTACTGTTGTTGCGGACAGCTAGATCATTCTAAGCACTGATGCTTAGAATCCATCTGGCCGTCAGTTATTATCCGCGTCGGGAAAACGACTAGGGAAAACCCTAATGCCGCGGTGTCGGGAAAACCCGATAATAAAAGTAAAAATGACAATCGTTTACCATCTTTATACTTTTGCTAAGAATCAGAATTGATGAGTAAGTCAATGAGTAATGAATATAATGCGATGACTTTGTCTGATCTGATCAGTTGATCATTTAGCATCATGGCTCAGTATTTCAAGGACACAGCTTTGTTGCTTTTGCGTGCACATCGTCTGAGAAAGGTTGGTTATGCTAGTCTCGAAAATATCGAAAGATTGTTGGCACTCGGATTGTTAGCTTTTATATCAAACATAAGCAACTTTATATCAATATACAAAATAAGAAGAATGACAAGTGTTTTTATGTGCCACCTAGTACACCAAAAATACCGACAACTCACTCCTACCTGGATGTAAGGACAAAGATACAGAGCAATATCGGCACGGGCATAATAACAAATATGTACGTGATAAAGGAAGTGATGGAGATCGCATGAAATGAATGCGATTGTCTGAGTTCCCGCCTGAAAAACGCCGTAAAAAGGACAAAAGAAGAAAAACACCGGGACCAGCACTGAACTAACTGCGGCCTATCGAAGGGTAATGGACGGCTCAGACTAAACTAGAATTGCTTTTAGGGTTTCTTTTAGGGGATTTCTTTTAGGATTTCCTTTAGGGTAAGAAAAAAGACGAAATAACTGATAAATGGTACAGCAATGATAGCCACGTCAACCCAGACGATGGGACTGTTGATTTCGAAGGTAACGCCGAAGAAGATGCCTCCTACCTTGATGATGTTAGCATGATAAAACAAAACAACCGACACAGGCAAGACTCGGCCCAGAAAATCTGGTCTTCCCTAAAAAGAAGAGATGAAGGGATCAACATCATTTTGGTGCGATTAAAGGATGGAAAGACTTACACAGATACTTTACGTCGACTTAAAACGAAGATTAATCTCAAGAGCTCCAAAATAAGCATCTTGGAATACCGAAAGATAAAGAACCGAGGATTTGCACTTCTATAGTGGCACAAAAGAGAAACAGACAGAATAGACAGAAATTCCAAGTAATGATACGGCAGACCTTGAGTGATAATAGAAAAGTAGAGAAACTTAACACAGAGACAGTTACTAGAAATACTTCAGTCTGGATTTGGACTATAACACAGACACAAATGACGTCAAGGACGTATTCAAACAAGAAACAGAATAGGACGTGGACTTTAAGATCTACATCTTTCGATCAAATAAGAGCGATGTTGCATGATAGTATGCGAAATGGACAGACAGACAGTTCAAAAGCTCAGAGACTGCTCAAAAAGGACAGAATCAAAATTGACTCAATCTACTTATAAACTACCTGGATATAACAGTTAAAAATTACATAATTTCGGACTCACATTAAATGGAAAGTAGAAAAATATTTTTATATATTACTTGTTTGATAACTTAGAAATTGCTAAATGCTCAATTGTAATATCATTATATATATTTTTGTGTAATCGGAGTCGTTAGAAAATATATATAGTAAGCAGAAAAATGGATTTCTTTATCTATTCAACAAAACTTTTTGTACTTTTAGCTCAATTTTGAATGTGGAATAAGCGAAAAAATCAATCAAATGGATCAATATATATATAGTTAAAAGAAAATAGTAAGAACTACATTTGAGAGAAATAAATAATGATCGTCAAAAATTATTATTTAATAAAAACGAAATTTGGTATTGGATTTATACGTACAAGGGTCGTTTGAAAAGTCCGTGCAAAGTCAGAGAGATGGCGCTACTAGTTCGTATCAAGGTTATTTTCAAGATATCTTCGAAGAGCACACACCAAGTTTCAGCCAGATGGGCCAATTACTTTTCGTTTTATATTCGTTTCAATCAAAGAAATCGAGTGGTTGTAAAAAAATGGAAGAAAAAGAATTTCGTGTATTGATTAAACATTACTTTTTCAAAGGCAAAACGCCTCAGGAGATTAAACAGAAGCTTGATAAATATTATGGTGATCGTGCACCTTCGATTAGAATGGTTTATAAGTGGTTTCAAAATTTTCGGAGTAGCCATATGAGCACAAAAGACGCTGAACGTTCTGGACGCCCTGTTGAGGTTACCACTTCAGAAATCATTGATAAAATCCATGATATGGTGATGGCTGCTAGAAGAGTGAAGGTGTGTGAGATTGCTAGTACTGTAAGCATCTCGAGCGATTGGGTACATAATATTTTGCACCAACATTTGGACATGAAAAAGCTATCCGCTAGATGGGTGCCGCGATTACTCACGATTGACCAAAAACGAGATCGTGTGAAGTGTTGCAAGAATGGTTTGCATCTGTTCCAGCAAAATCCGCAAGACTTTAAGTGTCGTTTCATCACTGTAGATGAAACATGGATACATCACTACACTCCTGAGATCAAAGAATAGTCTAAACAATAGGTTACCAAGGGGGAATCTGCTCCGAAAAAGGCGAAGACAATTCCTTCGGCCGGGAAGGTTATGGCGACTGTCTTTTGGGATTCGCAAGGAATAATCTTCATCGACTATCTGGAAAAGGGTAAAACCATTACAGGCGAATTTTATTCATCGTTATTGGATCGTTTGAAAACTGAGTTGCTAGAGAAACGTCCACGATTGGCCCACAAAAAAGTCCTCTTCCACCACGACAATGCGCCAGCTCACGCCTCAGCAGTTGTGGCCGCAAAACTGATGAAGATAGGGTTCCAACTCGTTTCACATCCCGCCTATTCTCCAGACTTGGCTCCGTCGGACTACTATTTGTTCCCTTATATGAAAAAATGGCTGGCGGGGAAAAGATTTTATTCAAATGAGGAGGTGATTGCAGAAACGAATGCCTATTTCACAGACTTGGACAAATCCTATTATTTGGAAGGGATTAACAAACTAGAGCAACGTTAGATGAAGTGTATAAGCCTAAAAGGAGACTGTATTGAAAAATAAAAAAGATTTATTAAAAAAAATCAAGCAGTTTTTATTTTTGCACGGACTTTTCAAACGACCCTCGTATTATTAATTCGATGTCATTACATAAAAGGACTCTATTTGCTTCATTACCTAAACTTTTTTTAAGAGAAAATCTGATATTAAAAAGAAAGACAAAGGAATTTTACCTGCATAACTAGGCCTTTGTTGATTATAAGGTGAATACTGTTGATCTTTTGCAAAGTCAGGATGTCGGCGTGGTTGCTGTGATGATGGTGGAGGTGGTGGCATACTTTTATTATTCGCTCCAGGATACAGTTGATTCCCCAATGTTGATCCATAAGGACTCTGTACATCAGAATGTTCTATTTATATAAACAGATCTCAAATTTAAGCTCACTCAAAAGCTAATTTATTAAAATTTCTTATTGTATTTTGAAAATCATTTCGTTTAATAATTGCACATATAATATATTTTGTTATTCGAAGTTAATGGCTGATATATCAGAGGGATCTCGTAAAATCAATCTCCTCGTTGAGTTGTAGGAAAAACTAGAACTGAAAGGTATCTAGGAAAAATACTTCAGGTTGGAGATTCTCTAGAATATATATAATGTGAGTTTGAGGATAGGGTCCTTCGACAGAGGATGAAAGACGGCCTGCTTGAACTTATACAAAGGTAAGGAAGAACCATAGTGGCCGTCTTCCTACAGACCACGAAGGTTATTAGATATTTACGTGCATTTACTCTCATATATCTACATGTTTTTCATATTTATATGTCAATTTTCTAGTACGAATTAACCTCTAGAGAACCGGAAAACTGATATATTGACTTGGGGGAAACAATCAATATTTTTTTGTTATAAAAACGATCTGGGGATTTTTGGAGTTACTAATCATAAAACTGGGGTCAGATTAGATAAACTTACACACACCCACTTTCTACTCACCCTATCCTACTGTCTTACCGCTTATTCAAATAGTCCACTTTTTATATTTGCAAAGCTCAGAGAAAACGTAACCTGAGGAGTTTTCGCGATCTTTGATCGCAAATTTGGAGTCGGATTAAATGAATTCACACATCCCCACCCCTATGCTACCATTCAACATCTCACAAATCGGCCATTTTTTGGTACCCAGTAAAATTATGATCTAAAAAGTTTTCAAGGTTACTCATTACGAATGTGAGATAAATTTGAAAAAATATAGTGTTATAAATTATAAGTCTAAACAATAAATATTTAGCTATCTCAATATATGTAAGTCAATATTTTCTTACTCCGTATAAATGTTATTTTACTTGACTTATAGACTTTATATTCTGTATTTACTCATACCTATCTAACAATTTTTTATTTTGTTGCTAATAAGATAATATAATTTTAGTTTTACATTTTTCAACATTTTTTATTTAAGCTGCAGAAAAAGAATCATGGATTTGAACAGTAGTGAATTAAAATTAGATGAGTTACAAGACAAAGATAAGATCAGTGCTGCAGTACCAACTAACTATAAATTGTGAGGATGAAGAAATTGGTATCCGTCTTCTGAACTTACTGAATTTCTTCATGATTAGGATACTGGAACATATAGAAAAAAGAGTAAAAATATAAACTGAATAGAGATGAAATTGAAATCGGTCACACTGATATTTTTAATTAAGTCGTGGAACATCAAAATATGTGATCACGACAATTCATGACGTTCATTATTGTACTACAGGAAAACAGCATTGAAAAACAAGATATAATATAACCATCATGTATTATTAAGTGTAATAAAAATAAGAGAGGTATTGATGTTACAGATAGATAACTATCAATAGTTGAAACTATTAGAAAATACATACAATGGTAATGAAAGTCTTTTTTATATTTACTCGATTTCGTACTGTCATACTCATAAATGATGTAAGATGAAAACTAGTAAGTCTATTTCTTATCCTAACTTTCGGTTGGAAGCGGTAAGAGGCTTATTGAAACTTTCTATATACTGCGAATATATATGCCAGTCCGGTGATCTTCAATTTATTGGTAGGTACTTTCCTAAAAACATTAAATATCAGAAGAAAATGGAACGCATCTGCTGCTTATGCGCTATGAGTAAAATCAGGCGTTGAAGTGGTTACGACTGTAAAAGTTATCATGTCACTTTTTGTATAGATTTATATTTTGAAATTTATCATTCTAAACAAACTCTGCCTTGATACACATATATTTTTTATAAAATAAAGATGAAACACAAAATTTTAACCAGTGAAATACCATATCTAATATTATTCCAAAAAAGGAACGATAACTAAAAAAATTCAAAAATATATAAAAATAAAAGAAACAAAAAAAATTAGGAAATAGAACTATATAATGCTAAAGGAGAGTTATAAAATTAAATTTTTTACCAAAAACATGATTATTTGAAAAGGACGGGAGGGGAAGGATTGAAGTTTATGAATTTATCAAAGCTGACTCCAGATTAGTGATCAGCGACCCTAAAATCTCTTAAAGACACATTTTCACCAGATTTTGTGATTACCAAAAATATAGCTTTCTGCCACACTAAATTTTTGATGTGGTAGGAAGGGTTGGGTTGGGTTGGAGAGGGAATGGAGTCGGTGAATTTAACAAATCTGGCCACAGATTCGTGATCAGCGACCCCAAAAAACCCTAAAAGCACAATTTCACGAAATTTCAACAATGTTATAAAATTTTATACTGACAAATTATTCTTACCCTTTACCGAACCGGAAAACCGATATATTGGTTGTGTCTGTGTCATCAACTTTGTATATAGTTGATACATGATATCTGCATTAATTTAACCACTTTTTACAGGTGATTGCAACCTTCACATCCCATTCGTCTAAAGGTTAATATTGTTATTGTTATTGTAACTTCAGAAACTTCGTAAAACGCTGCAGAGATACACTAGGTACCTGTACGCATTAGTTTAGGTTCCCTATAGTCATGAGTATATAGACCCATCTCTCCTACCATTTTTTAAAAATGTTGTGGAATGAAAAAGTTTTACACGCTTTATGATCATTTAACTTGGAATCCGTACCATCGGAATCACAGTAACAAACATATGAAAATTTCATTTCTAAAAATGTTCACATATCCGAAGCTATTTTTAAACCTATGACTTTTTTCACAGAAGTCTGGGATCTTACTCACTGAGCTAACGTGACCTTAATAATAACTATAAGTTTAATATGACGGTAGTAATTAACAAATATATGTTCTCTTACAAATGAGTAAGTTTCTATGCTCGTTGTGCGCTGTGTATGCGCTACATAGTCCAGCAATAATGAAAGAATAAGGCGCGAAACAGATGTTATCGCGCGCAGACCATAATGTGTGTAATAGTAAGAGGGTATACAATTTGTGTATCGGCATAACCACTTTTAAGTTATCGTGTGGAACTCCAACTTTCAGATTCCTTTCGCTCGAATCCACAGTTTTACAACTTTATTATTTCATTTACCATATATAACCTGAATCTAACATGTTTTAGATCTTTATAAGAATTATATATTTAGATTCCCTTGTGTAGAACCGTATTTTAACCAAGTATTTTGATACATATAAATATACGCTAAATTCAACACGCCTCCTTATATTTATATTATTAACATTAATTTCTTTCTAAATTTTTCAAATTTAATTCATCCCTATGACTTTTCAAATATGTTGTAACGATGAACGTTACATCCGCGCTCTCACCTCGTCAGGACGACTGCCCGTGAGTGGCAGCATCTGCTGGACATGAGTTGAGGACGCGTACTGCGCGGGAAGAGAGAGATAGATAGAAAGAACAAAAAGTCTAGGATAGCTTCTCGTGCTGTATGGAGGTAGCCCCGACGGAGCGCGATCATTCCTCGCATTTAAAAAGAGTGCCGCAGTTTTTGTGAAGGACATTAGCTGAGAGGAGAAGGGCATCCTGAGAGGATGTGTGCAAAAGATACGTTGAACTCCCAACTTGATACCGGCGACATCTCCAGTGTGACCAGGAAATAAAGCGAGGTTAACCTGAGTGATGACTCAGTTAAGAGCTGCTCTCGTAAGGTAAGCTGGCCAGCTTCGTGGTATTAATTGCGCGTGTTAAAGACAAAGTCGCCGGGAATCTCACATGAGATCGCATATCGATAAAAGGTGATTGCGCGCGTATTGTATTATAGTGAGAGCGTGTGAGTGTGATTCATGTACGGTTGCGGATAAGATGGCGGCGCCCGTATATGTTTATACGCCCCAAAGTTTATACGTGAATAACGAAACAATAAAGAACGCTTTAATGACGAATAAATTCTATGTAAAATAATCATTGACTGGCCCATTGATAAAATTTATTTTCACATCTGTACGTCCGTTTCGGCAAAATATTTTCGTACATTTGTGCCCATTTTCAGCTAGACGAATTTTATCCAAATACTTCAGAGCGAGGCTGATGTTACCGAATAAACTAAGGGTAGCAACCAACGGGGACTTCGCCCGGAGGCAAGTGTCTACGCCCGAAGTAAGGTATCGGTGGGAGGATTGTCGCAGAGAATGCAGAAGGCCTTTCTGACTGCCGGTGGGGCAATCTTCTAGAAATTTCAGAGCGCCACTAAAGTGGGCGAAATTGTATGACGCAGCAGCAACGTTCCCTCAATACAAAACGAACCTACAACCTATGCCCGGCGTAGCCCACACCAATTTCATACTACATTACATGGTGCCCAACGTAAATGAATTAGTGGCGTTCGCGACGAGTCAGAACGCCAGTTCATAGATGCGCATTTGCACGAGGCGTTAATGATACAACTTAACGCAAATACGCACCGAATCGTACAAAAGTCAATCTATGAACCACGTGGAATTTAAGGGGTAACACTACTGTAAAATTTTTCAAAAATCGATTTTTTTTTTTGCTTAAATGGTAGAGAAACATCTCAAAATCAACGTCCTAAAGTAGTTTTGCAAAAAAAAATTCGATATATAAACGTGACGGCGTCAGGCTTGAACATCAGCGCGTATTATTTGGTAGCCACCGTCTCAGTGCAGTTATCATTATGCAGTCTCTCTCTCTCTCTCTCTCTCTCTCTCTCTCTTCGTAGCTGTATAAGCTCGAAGAAGAGATAGATAAACAGCTCGATTGAGTGTGAAGCACAAACGCGCATCGTGGTCGGCGGCGCCATTTTTCCACCTTCTTCCATCCATCATCGCTACACACGAAGCCACCGCAGAATTTTCTTAATTTCCTTCCCTCTCTCTAACTCCCTTGAGTCCCTTCTCCTTTACTTCGCTTAGGTAAAGGCATTATATACGCCGGTGACTCACACAGAAACTATGAGGATCTCGAAGCACTAC